CTAACCCGAGAATATATTTTTTTACTTTTTCCATTGCTTTTCAGAGAGAGAGGAAGGGAGAGAGAGAGAAAGGGACACACACACACACACACACACACACACACACACACACACACACACACACACACATCTATTGGTTGCCTCTTGCACGTGCCCCACCCTGCCCCCAGGTCAAGGATCCAACAGAGTTGTAGCTGCTGAAGTAATTGAGAAATAAAAGAGGGTAAAGAGGAAAAATGGAGTTGGAGAACACAGGCATAGACTCTTCCTCCTGTTAAATTTCCTTCAGAGTTTGGGATCTGATCAGTTACCTTTATCCTTTGTCATTACATTGTCATTTTAAAATTGATTTTTAGAGAGAAAGGAAGGGAGAGGACAGAAACATCCATGCGAGAGAGAAACATCTATGTAAAAGCAAAACATTGATTGGCCGCCTCCTATATACCTCCTACTGGGAGATCAAGTCCAAAACCTGGGCATGTACCCTGACTAGGAATCAAACCAGCAACCTTTCAGTGCACAGATGATGCCCAAGCAACTGAACCATACCAGCGAGGGCACTTGGTATTTCTTAAAGCATCAGTTGAGCCATTAGAATTTAAAGTAAAGGAATTATTTATTTATTTATTTATTTATTTATTTATTTATAATTCATAAGTGTTTTTCTGTCTTCATCCAGCACACACAAACTTTTTCCTGTAAAACATCAATATGTAGAGCCTGGTATGTATTTTTAGTTTGCATTTTGCTTTTCCAGAACTTTAAAAAAAACTAAACTGCACTATTTCCACTACTTTTCAGTTGGTAGAACCAAAGACGTTTTTCCACAAAATAGAATACGTTTATTACGTAATTATTCATTGGGTTTTCTATTTTTATTGTTGAAGACTAACTACAGCCAGAGCTTCTAATCACTATGAGATAATTAGTATTAGCACATTAACTTTTAATTCCAGCCCTCAAAATGAAATTTGGTTATCTTAGTGTACAAAGCTCTATTTCATACAGTTTATGAGGCTATTAGGCTATTTTTAAATCTTGAAAATAGCTTAAGGAACTCTCAGTTTCTATCTTAGGCAGTTTTTACCGCCTACTTTCTTAGGTATACCTTTATTTCATAAAGTTAGGTTTTGTTTGTTTGTTTTTTGGCATTAGTTCCACTGAATCTGGCAAAGGAATGTACTGATTCTTTGATATGTTGGCTAGCATCTTTCATTTACTGAGTTATATTTTAGACCTTATGAGACTGCAGTTGATTATGACAACAAACTTTTCGGCTGTATGGTTTGACTTTTTTGTTTAAACAGATCATTAAGTTTGTAAAATTAAAATTTGTTCATAGCGATATAGCAGTGTGTGTACATGGCCAAGTCATAATGTTATTAACAAAAGAGCCAATAAAAGGATTTTTTTTTTACAAAAAAATAAATATGATCCTCTTCCTAAATTTTGCCATATTATTTATTCCCCCGTTAAGATTTTTTTTTCTAGTTTTCTGTTTTTATAATCAAACAGTGAATTTATTCTTTTTTTAAAAATAGATTTTTAGGGAGAGAGGAAGGGAGAGAGAGGGAAACATTGATGTGAGAGAGAACATCAGTGTGAGAGAGAAACTATTCGGTTGCTTCCCGTATGTGCCCCGAACTGGGGATTGATCCTATCACCTTCTGGTGTAGGGGTTGAGGCTTTAACAACTGAGCCACGCTCGTCAGGCTTTTTTTTTTTTTTTTTTTAAATCTTACTGTGTTTATTTTGTAGGCAAGTGGGTGGGCAGTGTTGAGGGCATTTAAGCATTGTTTTTGGAGGAGAGGGCGGTAATATTGGCTCCATGTGGATTTCTTTTTAAGGGTACCGTAACCATTCTTCCCTGAAGTGAAACATATGCAGAGGCTCTGACTTAAAGAGACTGTTCTATTATATCCCAGTTGGTTTAAAGGTATCTGTGCTGGTCTCAGTTGAAGTAGTAGCAATAATTCTCTTTCTATTCAGTGCCATGGTGGAGCAAAACAGAGCTGACTATACAGCCGTTGTCCTTCAGACATGTCTAAATTTCTCAGTCTATTTATGAGCATCAACAAACACTTTGTGCATACTTCTGCCATGGGTTGAATGCGTCTCTTTTCCTTTAATTTAGCTTAAAACTAGTAATGGAATTCCTGAGGTTTTGAGAGGAATAGTGTTGGCAAGTTTAGTTTTGAAACTAAAGGCAAATTAAGATACCAAGCAAAACAGGAGACTATTACTTTAGAAAGGGATCTTAAAACTCTGCTGACGTTTGCAAACCTAGTGTCATATTTATATAAGCTTTAGCTAGCAACTACTATTTTTCTAAAATTGTTGGTTTAAAAATAATTGTTATATTTGTGCATTTAAAAAGTTGCTTCTAACACACTGTGGGTATGCTTGAGCTCAGCCTTTCAGCAAAGTATTTAGACATTTGGGCATCAGCCCTTTTGGTCTTATTCTGTCTCAGGCCATTTAAGATAATTAAGATGGATTGTGGATGTCAGGAATTTGATAAGCTTCCATTAAAATCTAATGTGGTTTTAAAAAATTGCTTAAAGTGGCCTTTGAACCTATTAAAATATGCTACCATCATCTGAATTATGAAATTTGGCTGAGTATTGCTAACATGACAAATGATAGAACTTGTCATTTTGATGTTTGTTCTTTAAGTGTACTGTTTCATTGCCTTTGTAAGATATTAGTTGCATGTACTCTGAAGAATTATACTAATTAAAAAAACAGACCTCCCTGATTACATCTGTTTAATTTTAACTTTTGTGTACATCTCATTGGTATTCATTTGTGACCTTACCCATTTATGTAAATTTTACCCATCAACCCGTAAGCTTTTTTTAAGTGTCTCCTTGTGTTAAATCTGTATTGTTCCCCCCCCACACACTGATTTAAACCTACTTTATTCTTTAACTGAAATTTGAGAAGTCATGTCATTATCATACTATGCCCTTCAACCATGGTTCTGAAGATGACTAATTTTATTTTGTGTTGAGATTTATTCATTTATTTGTTTTATTTTTTTTTATCACCATTTATCCCCTCTATGTTCTCTTCCACCTCCACGTCCCCATCACCACATCGTTGTCCATATTCATGAGTCCTCTTTTTTGTTCAATCCTCCCCTCTCCCCAACACCTTCCCTCTTTCCCCACCAGAGCTGTCTGCCTGCTTTCTATGAGTCTGTCTCTATTTTTCTAGGTAGTTCAGTTCATTAAATTCCACATATGAGTGAAATCATATGGTACTTGTCTTTCTCTGAATAGCTTATTTCACTTAGCATAATGTTCTCCAGGTCCATCCATGCGGTTGCAAAGGGTAAAATTTTCTTTTTATGGTAGAGTAGTATTCCATTGTGTAAATGTACCACAGCTTTTTTTTTTTGGTAATATATCTTATTGATTTCCGAGAGAGAGGGAGAGGGAGAGAGATAGAAACATAAATGATGAGAGAGAGTCATTGATCAGTTGCCTCCTGCATGCTCCCAACTAGGGACTGAGCCCGCAACCCAGGCATGTGCCCTGACCGGGAATTGAACCGTGATCTCCTGAATCCTAGGTTGATGCTCAGCCGCTGAGCCACGCCTGGGCTACCACAGCTTTTTTATGCACTCATCTGATGTATACCCTTCAGAGTACATGCAGCTAATCTCTTACAAAGGCAATGAAACAGTACACTTGGTTTGCTTCCACATCTTGGCTATGGTAAATAACACTGCAATGAATGTAGGGTCACACATATTCTTTCAAATTAGTGTTTTGGGTTTATTCGGATAGATTCCTGGAAGGGGAATCTGTGGGTTATAAGGCAGGTCCATTTTTAATTTTTTAAGGTAACTCCCTACTGCTATCCACAGTGGCCACACCAGTCTGCATTCCCACCTACAGTACACAGAGTTCCCTTTTCTCCACATCCTTGCCAACACTTGTTTGTTGATTTATTGGTGGTAGCCATTCTGACAGTGTGAGGTGATATCTCATTGTGGTTTTAATTTGCATCTCTCTGATGGTTAGTAATGTTGAGCATCTTTTCATATGTCTATTGGCTATCTGTATGTCCTCTTTGGAGAAGTGTCTATTCAGGTCCTTTGCTTATTTTTTAAGTAGATTGGTTTTTTTAGGTGTTGAGCTGTATGAGTTCTTTATAAATTTTGGATATTAACCCCTTATCACATGTATCATTGGCGAATATGTTCTCCCATTCAGTGGGTTGTCCTTTCATTTTGTTGGTGATGTTCTTTGCTGTGCAAAAACTCTTTAGTTTGTTGTAGTCCCAGTTGTTTTTCTTTTGTTTACCTTGCCCAAGGAGATATATCAGAAAAAGTCTTGCTGCTAGAAATATCTGAGATTTTACTGCCTATGTTTTCTTCTAGGACTTTTGTGGTTTTGAGTCCTGTGTATTTTGTTTTGCTGTTACGCATCTCTGATTATTTTAAAATTTCTCCAGGACAAAAATTGTTTTCGTACATTCTTTGATATTTCTTCGCAGTGCAGTGCAATGCATGCTTTGTTGTTGTGGGTAGATATTAAGAGCTTATCTGCCCACTTGGCCATTTGAAAGATACTTACCCAATACTTACTTTGTTATAGAGGCTGAGGATGCAAAGTCCAGTAAGGCAAAGACCCTTCCTTCAAGTTGCTTAGACTTTGATAGGAGGTTTAGACAATAAATCAATTATAGTACCATGTGTCATTTATATTTTGAAATGATCTTAGAAAGAGCCAGAGCTCTACCTCTGATAGAGAAGGTTTTTGTACTCTCCGGAGAATGGAAACTAACACGTGTAGAGCATCTGAAGGCTTCTGTATCAGTTTATCCCCTTAGATCCTTCAGCATAAGCGTGCTTTCCATTTTACACGCGAGGAAACTGTCTTCGAGGGGTTATATGGTTTGCTGAAGGTCACTTAGCTAATGTGTTATGGAGCTGGTGTTCTTTCTCACTTAGTGTTCTTTTATTACCAGGGTTTCTTAACTTTAGCACTATGGACATTTTGGACCAGGTAATTGTCGTGGGGACTGTCTTATGCACTCTAAAATGTTCATCAGTATTCCTGGCTTTACTCCAGGGTGAAGCAAGGAGGTGCCTAGGGCTCAGAATTGAAGGAGTCACTCTCATGATCTTTAAAGTGCTGACCTGGCATTTAATCCTCACATTATCTGAGAAAGTTCACCCATACCAGCCTGTTGCTTCTAGGTTTTGATTCAGTAAATCCCCTAGGCATTTAGATGTTTCTTGGGAGCTGAAGAGCATTAATGAACAGGAACATTATTTGCATCATTTGTCTTTGTTATCCAAGAACATATACTCTTGGGCAAAAGTGACTACTAAGAAATGGAATTTATAAGCGCTAAGTAAGTACCTTCTAAATATTACAGAACTAAGAACCTTAAGGTGATATGTTATAGAACAAAAATACCAATTCTTCAAACTAATGGGAACTTAGAGCAAAAACTATACATTGACTATACTCAGCTTAATTTATTTTGTGCCTGGCATGTACCTGCTAGTATTGACTTTATATCATTAGAAATCCCATTAATTTTTTCCCATGTCTCTGTTTCAATATAAGTATATCCTGTATGGATAAATCCATTAATACCTTTTAATTTATTAGACTGTAGCTTGTTTCCTAAATACAACCTAGGTTCTGTAGAATGGAGTTTTCAAAAATAGAGTATGTAGCGCTTTGCAAATGCCACTGCTCCTGAGCCTGCTGTAACCAGCCATGGCGAACCCCCGTTGTGTTCTTCGACATCGCCGTTGATGGCAAGCCCTTGGGCCGCATCTCCTTCGAGCTGTTTGCAGACAAAGTTCCAAGGACAGCAGAAAACTTTCGTGCTCTGAGCACTGGGGAGAAAGGATTTGGTTATAAAGGTTCCTGCTTTCACAGAATTATTCCAGGATTTATGTGCCAGGGTGGTGACTTCACACGCCACAGTGGCACAGGTGGCAAGTCCATCTATGGGGAAAAATTTGAAGATGAGAATTTCCTCCTGAAGCATACGAGTCCTGGCATCTTGTCCATGGCAAATGCAGGACCTAACACAAACGGCTCCCAGTTTTTCATCTGTACTGCCAAGACAGACTGGTTGGATGGCAAGCATGTAGTCTTCGGCCAGGTGAAAGAAGGCATGGATATTGTGAAGACCATGGAGGGCTTGGGGTCCAAGAATGGCAAGCCCAGCAAGAAGGTCACCATTGCTGACTGTGGACAACTCTAATCAATTTGACTTGTGTTTTATCTTAACTACCAAACCATTCCTTNTAATCAATTTGACTTGTGTTTTATCTTAACTACACAACCATTCCTTTTGTAGCTCAGGAGAGCACCCCTTCACCCCCATCTGCTTGGAATGTTCTGTAATCTCTCTGCAGTTCATTGGGTTCCATATTTTCCTTACCCCTTCTCCAAGTCTAGCTGGGTTGCAGAGTTAAGTTTATGATTATGAAATAAAAGCTAAACAATTGTAAAAAAAAAAAATAGAGTATGTAATAAAAACCTGAATTTTTAGGAGTATTAACAAACAATGCCCAACAGAATTATTAATAGTATGTCAGATTTTTTAGTCTTAAGTAATATTGATTTATATTTAACTTTCTGATAAAATACTAATATTTGATTCATGATAATGCAACTTAAAAATTTTTTATACTCATGGAATTGTGGCTAGATTATAGAAAGTCCCTGAAAAGCTGTTAGAGTAGGCAACTCTTATTATTATAGGCAATAGAGAGCCATTAAAGATTGTCAAATAGGAGAGTAATTTAGTAAAGGTAACTTTTAAGAAATATTCCAGCAAAGGTATGTATAATGTTTTGAGCAATGAGCTTTACAAAGGTAAGTTTAGAGGCCAGGCAGGAGCACATAATGAGAGTCTGAAATTGGGATGCTTGTCCTATCTTATGTTCTTCTGTTCCCGCCTGCATCCAATATTTGGAGACAGAGTCCACAAGGCTACATGTGTTTTCTCATAGATTACGAAGTTTTTAAAGAAGTGGCTGTCTAAAATGACACAATTTTATTGATGCACAGTAGGAACCCAACAGGTGTTTGAGGAATGAATGAGTGGTGGAATTAATGAATTATTAACTGCTAGAATAATATACAGACAAATAAAACAGGGAATAGAGAGGGATGAGTCAAAGGTAATGCCTAGGTTTTGAGAGTGTGTGAGTGGTGGTAAAGGAGAACTGGCTAACTTTTGATGGTGATGATGGAAGTGGTGGTTGGTGGTGGTGGTGAGGTGATACAGAAGAGAATGGGTTTCATTGGAGGTACTGAATTATATGTACTGATACTATATTGAAATGTGAAGCTTAGCTGCGAATTTTGGGTTATCACAGAAGTGAGAAAATGTGGAGAAAGAATTGAGTTTAAAAACAGCCACAGTTTGGGTCAGAGCAGTGTTTCTGACACATCTTTTTTTTGAGGATTACTTCAAAATGTAGTATCTTTCTATAAATGACTCTTACTTAATACATTTATTTTAAGGGAAACTTTATGTTGGTACTATAAATGGCAAACTAATATCACTTGCTTTAAATGATTGACAATGGGAAATTAAAGTGATGACAACTAATAATCATACTGAATTTTAGCTAGATACTGTTGCCTCCTAAATCCTCTGAGCCTGAGTCTACTCTGGTTAAATAAGAAACCAGAATGAAATGGAAAACAGTAAGACTTTGTAATTACAAAGGCTTGAGGGCATGACAAGCTAATTTTTTTATGACATGATTCATTGTTATATATGTGCCACCTAAAGTGGATATAGATCCCGTGCTTTGGGAAACACTGAGGTATGCCATAGGAAGAGGAATCTACTGGGAAAAGAGAGGCAGCTAGTGATCAGACCAGTGAAAACCAGGAGAGTGATGATGTCCTGGAAGTCTTAGGGAGGTAAGAGTTTCAAAAAGGTATGTGTGGTGCTGTTGAAAATTCAGGGAAAGGTTTGTGATAACTTGCGTATCAATATGTGATACCGTCTATTAATATACCCCAAAAGTTTCTACACCCTGGTGATTCTCATATGTTTGGATTTAGCCAGTGCACATTGATCATCGTATAGGAATTGATAAAATACTTTCTTGATGTGTTAGCAAATTTTATCTAGAATGATTAAATGAAAGTGTGGAGAAGGCATGTGACAATAAAGAGGAAAATGCATTCCTGGTTTTCAAATAAGTAACTATTAGGACATCTTTTGGTTATGTTCTTTTTTTTGAATGATTGAGACTTAGCAATACTAGTTAATTCAATAATAATAATTCAATAAATGAAAATTTTAGATCCAGCCATAAATATGAATTAGGCTGCCGTATATGAACACAGACACACATGCGCGCGCACGCACACACACACACTCACTCTCTCTCTTCTCTCTCATTGTTTCTCTAAAGAGGAAGCACCCCTCCCCCCCACACACACTTTTAGATCCTACTTTGAGGAAATTTGATTGTATCTCTTCATAGGGATAGGAATACATTTTCCCCCCGTCAGATGGTAATCTTTATTTTTACAAATAGTAGTAGTCATAATAATCACCCTCTTTTACAGTTGGGAAACTGAAGCCTCAGAGAGATGATGAGGTCTGCTTCGGGGCCACATGACAGTGATATGGGACTAACGGTCTTGCTGTGAGGAGGAAACAGGAAGAATAATGCTGTGCCTTGAAACCAGATTCAGGTGCCAAAGCCTGACTTCCTGATGCTAATTCCTGGTTTCCATATTTTGGGGGAGAGGCTGGTTGGTGTCATCATGCACCCCTTCATTATCTGATGAAAGGTGCAAAATTGTTAAAATTACACTAGTACAGATTTTACATTCAAGTTCAAAGAGACCCATAATCTCCATGATGGCCAACCATGGCCTTCAAATAAGGAACCCCATGTTTGGACAGTGTGCCCCACCCCAGTGAACTCATCCAAGTGCCACCTTAGAGACTCTACCCTGGGATATGAATAATTTTGAGGAATAGTTTTGCAGAGTTTCTGTCTCTGAGTCATATGCCAGGGTATGAACCAACACTGGTCATAGATGTGAAGTTCTTTTTATTTCTGGAAGGTGGGTTGGGGGGAAAATGAGTATTTTAACAGTTTACTTGTATTTTTGTTATCCTTAAAATGAAAATTTGTCCTTGATCTCTGAACATATTTTAGAAGTTCTTTGAATTTATGGTGATAAAATAATTCTATGGGTGAATTAACCATAATAGTACTTTGTTGTACTTTGCATTATGAAATTCATTTTAAAGAATATCTAAAAACACATTTTTTCATACCTTTTTGTTTTAAAGATAACATTTCCTTGTTTTTATTGATTTGAGGGAGGGAGGGAGATGGAGAGAGCAAGAAACATACATGTGAGAGAGAAACACTGATTGACTGCCTCCTGCATGCCCCCACTGGGGATCAACCCCTGAAACCTGAGCTTGCACCCTGATTGGGAATTGAATCAGCGACTGTTGGGTGCATGGGACAACGCTTAACCAACTGAGCCTTATCAGCCAGGGCTTATACCTTATTTTCAACCAGAATTTAGGTGGTTGGGCCTAATATAAGATTGAATTTTTTCAATTAAAAAAACTTGTTTAGAAATTACTTTACTAAAAAAAAATCGTTAAATTGTTACCATGATTCAGCCATAATCCCCTGCCCCCTTTTTAATGAATGAGACAAAATGTAAATAAATGAAATACATACTGGTGGTTGCCAGGCCACAAAACCCTATAATATACCTGTACGTAGTCCAGTGCTGTACTGCATCACCTAACCACCATTTATAACTGTGATTCTGTGGGGCAAAAAGGCATTTATGACTCCCAAGCAACAAGCCAACAAATCATTTTTGGAATGTACCATATTTAAGTTGGGAACTGCTATAGAAGTAATTGATTTTGGCAGAAAAGAGTTATGTTAAAAGAGAATTGGATATCTCTTTAGCCATTGTCTGCTCTTGAGTGCCTAAGTCTGTAGTCTGTATCTAGTAGAAGGAATGATTACTAATATATTCTTTTGTATCATATTAGGGATTCTAAACTTACTTTGAACAGCATTTGATTTAGCGCAACAAAGAAATTAGATGTAAATGTGATCAATTCTGTAGAAATATATTCTACTGCTCATCTGGAGATATTTCTGGTCCTGAGTTTCTTCAAGCATATTAGGATTCTTTAACTCTGTTTCTGCAGGATGTGGGGTAATTGTGTGGAAAGAGGTGATGACTTGAATTGGCTCCATCAACTGAAAATAAATTCTTCATCCTAATCAACTTTATTTCATTATGTTGTTTACTGAAACACCATTCTATTATTATTGGTATATTTACCAGGCTACAAGCATTCTTAAAGTGGATGGTATCACTACTGGCATTTATAAAAGCTGTGTATGAAACAACTATGTGTGGAAAAACACGTATCTGTTTTGTATTAAAGGGAGATTAGTTGTTAGGATGGACTTTGTTGGTTGCTGCATGTCCAATTGATAATATAGTTATTTCAGCTCCTTATTCTAAGAAATCTCATATAGTACAGTTTACTCTGATTTTTGGTTATTGATTATTCATTCAGGAAATATTTATTGCATGCCTGTGCGCCAGGCATTTTTTTGGGGTGCTGGGTATTTACCAGAGAATGAGATATATCCCTGTTCAGATGGAGCTTTCATTCCAACGAATGAAAAAAACAGCAAACAAATTAATATATACAGTCTTGTAATGATAAATATGAAGAAAATGAAAGCAAGGTGGTATCCAAGCATGCTCCCATTATTGATGACCTTTCTTTAGTTTTAAGGCAAATTTTTGTCCTTTGTCAGGTCTCCCTGTTGCGGTATTGCTATTACTAAAAGGAAACCTATTGCCTACATTCTTTCAAGGAGTCCCTGTTTTGGTTTTCTATTGCTGGGTACCATTTACCACAAACTCAGTGGTTTAAAAGAATACCCATTTAAAAAATTTTAATATACTGATTTTAAGAGAGAAGAAGAGAGAGAGGGAGACAGTGAGAGCGAGAGATGGAGTGTTCGACACCCCCCCCCTTATTTGTGCATTTATTGGTTGATTCTTGTATGTGCCCCGACTGGGGATCGCACCCACAACCTTGGCTTGTTGGAATGACGCTCTAACACCCCAGGGCAAGAACACCCTTTTATTAGCTCACAGATTTATCAGAAGTCTGGGCTCAGTGTGGCAGGGTTCTCTGCTCAGGGTTTCACAGGGCTGAAATCAAAATGTTAGCTGGGCCGAGTTCTTGTCTGTATGCTCT